ACCAGCTGTGATGCTCCGAAGCAGTGATTCCTGTGCGAGATGTAATTTTACTGATAAAAGTAAGTTTTTTTCAGTTTTCTTGTAAAATTTTAGCGTTTTTTGTAAGCGTTTTTTAAGAATTCTATAAACATAAAATTGTGAATCATACGGTTTTCAAAAATTGCATTTCTTTACAATTCATTTGGTGGTAGAATTAGTGCGCAGCGTTTTCTCATAACCTAAAAGCGTTAAGTGTATTTTGAAGAGGACTTTGAGCGTAAATCGTACTTTATTATACATCCTAATTCGTACCGGTACAAATTAGGAATACGAAATAAAATTGTTTTCATTTTGGTTTTAACCAATCAATTTCTGTTTATACATATTTGTTAAGTTTTTAATTTTATCATTTTATGAGAGGAAAAAATAAAAATATTTTTTTTTAGCACACAATAGCAAAACGACAATATAATAAATGGTCTATGCAAAATATGAATGCAGCAATACAAGATTTTAATAATGGGAAATTACGATTCAATGAAGTATGCAGGACATATGGTATTCCAAAACCGACCTTTCGACGTCATTTAAAAGGTCTAAATTCTCAGAAAAAAATAGGAAGACCAAGCGATTTGACGGAGCAAATGGAGACCGAATTGTTTCATCACATTTTGGATTTGGAGTCTAGATTCTTTGGGTTAACTATCACAGATTTAAGACATCTAGCATTTCAGTTGGCAGAAAAATACAAACTTCCGCACCGATTTAATAAGGTGCAAGAGTTAGCCGGTTGGAAATGGTATTACAAATTTATGAAAAACCACCCAGAAATTGCCTTAAGAATGCCTGAACCAACATCAATGGCACGATGTAAAGGATTTACCAAAAACATTGTATCAGAATTTTTCGACAAATACGAAAAGATTCTAGATGATTTCCAATTTGGACCTAACGAAATTTTTAACATGGATGAGACAGGTCTTAATACCGTTCATAAGCCTGCTAAAATATTAGCGTTAAAAGGAAAACATCAAGTAGGAGCAGTCACTAGCGGAGAACGTGGAATTAACACTACATGCGTTTGTTGCATGAATGCTAGTGGAGACTTTATTCCTCCAATGTTGATCTTCAAACGCAAAAGAATGACGGACATCCTTAAACGTGGTGGCCCGCCTAAAACGCTGTACACTTGTTCTGAGAGTGGATGGATTGTCGCTTCAATCTTTGTCGAATGGTTACAACATTTCATAAATCATTTAAAATGTGAAAAACAATTGAATCATAAAATTCTAATAATATTGGATGGACATAACACACATACTAAGAATCTAGAAGCCATAAACCTTGCTAGAGAATACGGTATCGTAATGTTTTCTTTGCCGGCGAACACATAACACACAAACTACAGCCTTTGGATAGATCATTCTATAAGTCATTAAAAACTAATTTTAACAAAGAATGTGCAGTTTGGATGAGAAATCACCCTGGTGAAACAATCAAACCATCAAACATATCTGAAATTTTGGGAGTTGCATATCCTAGATCGGTTTGTATGGACATCGCTATGAAAGGTTTTGAAATTTGTGGATTGTGGCCTTGCAACAGGTATCGAATACCAGATGAAGAATATGTCGTGCTCGATGAAAATGAAATGACCCAAACTGGTATGCAAATTTCGGATCCTGGTCCTTCCACAGCGAATGTTTCTACAAATGCACACGATCAAACTGACGCATCCATCCGCATGGTTATTGAGAATTTGTCACCAATATATCGACTTCCACCGCAAACATCTAAGAAAACAAGCAAGGCCGTAGTCCTTACTGCGAGTCCATATAAAAATATGTGGGAAAATAAATTATATGGACCAACAAAACCAAAGAAACGCTCTTTAATAGAAATGACTTCTAATACTTGGTATTGCATTTTATGCCGCAAAGATGAAGAAAAATCAATGATTCAATGCATCAAATGCAACATATGGGTGCACGACAACTGTGCAGGTGTAGGAAAAGCCACATATTCTTACACTTGCCAACATTGCATCAGAAGTACGATTTAGGAATAGTGCGGTACGAGTTAAGACACATGGTCTTAAATCGTACTTTTTTCATTATTTTCTAAATATTTTATTTTGAGTAGTAAAACAGGGTTTCTTTAAGTATTAACACTAATGCACTAAGCACTAATGTTTCTTCTATTAATAAAGTTTTAACAACCCAAATTTCATAGTGTCTGATGCATTTTTGAGAAATCTACAACAAGTTGTTCAAAACTGGTACGATTTGGGCAAGTTTACCCTGAATAGTTGTTAAATGAATTGTTTCTTATAATTTATTTTTGCAACATGATAATGTATATTTGTGCATATTTTGTAGAAATAAAAAATTAATCAGTAATTTGGTTTTCTTTACCTACTAAATATTTCCAAAGCGTTATCAAATACTTAAACATTTTCAATTTGAATAGAACACATATTTACATAAATTTTCTATTCTAAAATTTACTGTTGTCATTCCAGTTTAGATCGACTTCGCTCTTAGTGCTTTATAGATTTTTTTTAATCGGCCCTATTCTGCCAGTCTCTTGGCCAATGTAGGTAAAGAAAAATAATAAATAAGAAGACTCACAACTCTAACTTGTTTCTGTTACTACTTTGTAACGTATTAAAGAATCTGGTAAAATCTATACTATTGCAATATCCACAAAAAGGTTATTAATTTTGCCACTCTTTTTGCAAATCTCAATATAATAATATAATTTGAATGAAAGTCACTTATTTTGAAAAGAAACAAAAAATTCAGTAAACGAACTTGCAAAATTATTTTGAGGCCTATGGTCGCTTTCTGTTCCTAACGTCGATATTAGCAATAAAACAGGTAGTCGTTATGATAAAGAACACTTCAGCGCTGTAGTTAAACACTTGGAGCGCTAACATGAAACTCGCTGTAGGTAATTATGAGTGATAACAATCCAAGCGGAAGACGAAACGCAATCTAAACTAATAAATGAAAGTTAATTAAAAGGCAATAATGCCGACATTGTAATTTACAAATCTGCCATGTTGTTGTTACTGGCGGGACCACAGATTTGATTTGAAGACTGATTGGGATTCGCCTAAACTTGTTATGAAAATCCGAATAAAGCCGCAGGTGTTAAAACAGAAATTAGCATTCGGTTTGATGCAATAATTAACCTTTGCGAATTGCCAATTTGACAACACGCAAAATTTGTACTCGGCATTATGAGACTGCGTGTCACGTATAATCGTATGACAGTTTTCTACTGTCTCATTTATTAAGAATTGGTCAGCGAAATTACAAGTTTTCGCTTCTAGCTCCAAACTTTTCTAATTTACCAAAAACCCTGTTTTCCTTGTAGATTATTATCTTATATCGCTTTATTAATAGTGTACCTCCTAAATATATTCTATTACTATTTATTTCTGGTAACTTTTTAAATTTGACGATAAGAAAAATAAATTAGTGTAATACTGTATTTTAATGTTATATATATATATATATATATATATATATATATATATATATATATATATATATATATATATATATATATATATATATATATATATATATATATATATATATATATATATATATATATATATATATATATATATATGATGACACTATATTCCGGGATATCATCCGTTCGCTCGTTGAACTCCGACTGGAACTCTGCAGACGTTTCGCCAAAGAAGATCCAGCAGACCATCAGGTCAGCGAAGGACAAGAGGGGCTCACTTTCAGCTGCAGGAGTCTACCGCATTCCGTGTTCATGCGGAAAGGTCTACATCGGGACTACCAAGAGATCAATGGGAACGAGACTTAAGGATCATAAAGCAAGCTGCAGGCGAGGACATACAGAGAAGTCTGCAGTAGCTGAACACGCACTGGGCAGCGGGGAACACAGGATACACTTTGAGAGCTGTAAGTTACTAGCATCGGTCAACGGCTATCACAACAGACTAGTCAGGGAAGCCATTGAGATACAAAAACACCCACACAATTTCAACCGAAAGGAGGAGACCCTTAGACTCAACCAAATCTGGAACCCGATCCTTAGGAACCCCCGAGCAGTACCGATCGATATCCCGAGACCAACCGAAGCGGAACAAGCCCAGTCCACCACCAATCGGCATAAATACAACCTGCGCAGGAGAAATCGTCAGTCTACGTCCAACATCGGAGATGGAAGGACCTCTGAAGAAGCTCGCCACTCGTGCTAGCGAAACGTTAGGAAGTAATTCCAATCGACGACGGCCTTTAAACCCGAATCAAGATAATAGCTTATCAACGGGCCGCGAAAGCCTTAACCAATTTATCATCCATACCATACCATAGGAACACCAAAGCTTAAAAATTTCTGCCCACTTTTTTGCCAGTTTATTAATGCTACAAAGTAAACGGAACAAACAGTATGAGAAGGAGAGAAATTGTCTTGGTCGCCAATTTTTACACCAAAATAAGCGTGGTATACATTTTTCTACAAAAAAAGTTTTGCTACGACATAACTTCCACAGATATAACAAAAGTTATTTGGATTGATGACACAATGTCTTCTTTTCATATTTATACGTTCTAAAATTCTAGCAACACATAACAACGAAGACAACAGCCGCGAACACAGTACCACGACAACTAATATAACCAACCTGCAGCAGCAGCCGGTTGTATTGACGCTTTTGCGCCAACTCTGTTCCTTTGCAGATGCACCTAATATTATCCAGTATTATAGCAAAAATATATAGCAAAAAAGATAGCAAAAATATGGCATTTTTCGAGAAACAACCAAGAATATACAAATAAGCAAACAGCTTTCAAACATCAAAATCACTGTAGACCTGTGTAGTCGATTAATAAAATTCTACGACACGCGATCTCACACATCGTCGCGATTTATTCGAAACGTCACGCTTTCACAGCGATTATTAAAGCCGCGGCGCTTATAAAAACGGAATCAGCACGATTCAAACTGGATTATTGCTATTGCGGGAAACGCTGCTCCGAAATAAAGGAATCGTTCATCCCGAAATATGTGATGCGACGATACGAGGAAACAACACCCCTGGGTTTCACGGCGTAGTGGAAAATTGTTACACATCTGAAAAGCGGAACAAAGGTGTATTCCCGTAATCAAGATGTACCGATTGTCTACGCAAAATTACCGTGGGAAAAACAGGTGCATAAACTTTGGTGTTAGACCCTAATTTTCGCATAGTTTCGAATTTATGAAAAAGCGTCTTCTGTGGTCGGCCGGTCGTGATTTAGTTTGGAATTTAATTGACTACAGATCAGCAAGTTAGCTCGATCAGTTACCGCAGTTAAAAATAAAGTGAAAATTATTAAAAAAATATTTTTTGTGTTAGTAAACTACATACAGAAAACTATTTTTAAATTGTTTTAATGTAATTAAATTTAGTTTTTCAAAATTATTTTCGCTCCATTGTTTTTTAATTAGATTTATAATGTTATTTAGAATTACAATAAAATCCGTTAATAATGATTAAAATTAAAATTAATGATTTAGATCCACACTATGTTTTATGTTTCAGAGAAAATCGAGAAAAGTGAAAAGTCGTAATCATTTACCAATTAATTGATAGGTAGCGAACTTACGAAAAATTAATATGGGAAAAAATAGAAGCCTCAAAAACCATAGAAACTATAGCCCTAGAAAAAAATGGTGAGTACAAATATATGTCTGGTAAATTAAAAACTTTAAAGCTTTCAGCACGTTATTAGTGCACGTTGCAGGCCAAAAATTAGGAAATTAAAAGTTATTCATGTGGTTTAATTTTGCCTATTTATAATAATTGCCAAATGTGATTCTGTGGCGAAGATAATGAAAGATAAACCTTATATGTACGTTCATTTACAAATTAATAATCAAAAATTAATGTCCGGTTAAAAGTAGGGAAACACAATTTATAGTTTGTAACCCTGTAAATTTCGATTTCGATATATTACATTTGCAGAACGAAATCTAGTCAAATCATCCAACGCAGATATAATGCCTATAGATCCTAAAATAATGTTTTAAAGAAGTCGATTTCAAGATTTTTTAACATTTAATTTACACCTTGGCGCTAAGGCTAATGTTTTTTTGTTATTTTTAACATTTTTCTTAAATATTGTATTTTTTCTTACTCGGTGTGAATCTAGGCTCAAGGTTTCACGACGAAAGGTAAAATTCACAAAGACTTTATATATGTTTAATGCAATTATATTTGTTTACGCTCATTCTGAAATTTAAGTTGTTTGTGATATTTAGTACAGTACTTTCCTCTGATAATCCTTGGATAGCCATCCTGATTCTGATTTTACAAATACGAAGAGAAAATAAAACTGTTAAGGAGAACTAACTTTTCAGTTGTTAGTTGGTGTTAATAAAAATTAAGACTGTGTCATATTTATGATACAGTGTTGAGAAATAATCTGTACTACTATCATTTTTATGCATTTAGATACAAACGGAAATGGGTAGTTAATTGTTTCTACTAATAATAACTCGAACACTGTTTCGACCAGAAATATGGATGTTTACCCTATTTGGGAACCCCGAAACGTATTATTTTAAAATTATTGCACCAAAACAAGCAAAATCCCATTGCGCGACAATTTATTGTCGAAAAACCCAGACCGTGCGTGAATTTCGGACTATATGGGAGATTCCCCGCTGAGCCCCATTAATTGTTAAATAGTCAAATACAGACGGCGTTGTTACTGCAGCGTGTACCGAACCTGTGAATTTACTAACTGAATTTCTATTGTTTTTTTTTTCAATTTTGTATCCGAAATATTATAGCCCATCCTAGATTACGTTTGTGCGGACAACTGAATCAACTTACTTATATCGCTGTAAACAGTTTCACAAAGAGGCAAGGATTTCATGTAAATATAAATGTAAATTTGGTAAATATTTTTTATATAATAATATATCCACATAACATGACTGTAGAATTAACTTTTGAAAAGCTTGTCTATACCTTTAATCTAGATGTCCCAACCACCAGGAAGTATTTTGATCTGTCAACCAAAGCTAACCATCTATAAGTGACCCAACTCTCATTCGTCCTCATATATGTTTTAAGTTTCAATGCTTAAAGTCGAAGTACCTTTATAAATGTGAAGCTTTTATATTTTCGATAGTTTTTTAATTATTTCAGAAAGTAGGTGGTCTCGAAAAAAATTTAGTTTAAAATAGTTTACAACATTTTTACCCAATCCTCTGAAACAATCGTTACTCCCAATTACTTGCAAAACCCTCAAATAACTTGAAAACCAGTAATTTTTTGACCTTAGGCAAGAAACATTTTTTAGTGCAAAAAACTATTTTTTTTTGCGGAAAAAATTAAGAATATTCCATTAAAAAACCTTTACGGTCAAAATAATAACGATACGAGCAAAAGTATCTTGAATTAAATTTCATGTAGGTATCTTAAATAAAAATATTTGTTTGAATGAAGCAGGCATTTTCGGACACATAAACAAAGCTAACATTATTTTTTAGTATTCTATATACTTAACGTTACCTTAATTTTTCATTCTACTTAAAATTAGTTTATAACATTGAGGCAAATGTATTTTAGCCCGATCGATTTTCATATAATCCAAAATTTTATAATTTTCATTAAAAAAAAAATTATCAGAGTTTCCGCTTTATTATACCCTGTATACACACCTTCAGTGTTTTTTGTGGGAAATGAAATTAATGAAATGACATTCCAAATCGGCGTAATCTAACGAATTGTTTTCGAAACTTTGTAAGTGCTTAAGTTGCACGTTCAAACCTAACCAAAACGAAAACGCTGTCCGCAATTACAGTAATTGCGGACAGTGACCAACCAACACGGTCCAATGGCGCCGAAACAGAGAGATTACCTGACGCGTGCATTTCCACTGATATTAAAGGCGCTGCTTTGGCCGATTGCAATTTTCATTTGGTTTTAATGGAATATATACTTGGATATATATCTATATATACACATATAAAATAAATCGTGCGCTTTCGACAAAATTAAAATAATTTAATAAAGCTGCCGTAAGTTCGATCTAATTATATATTAATCAGCCTTTGTTTAACAATCGAACCATCATTGTTTAGGAATACCAGCGAAAATTGTAATGAAAAGTATTTATTCCGCTAAATAAAACGTTACGTGATAGACTAGAAACGTTAAGCCATACAGGAAGTGTACTGAAATAATTATTTTGTTTATTGTCCATTGAATTTGTTTATATTATGCCTGAAAAAAATTAAGTTTATTGAAAAGCGATGCCATCCTGGGTTATCATCCCATCTCACGCCACATACAATATGATAATCTTGTAACACTAGAAAGAATAAATGCAATTAATGCAAGAATCCGAATTTTTGCCCAGAACCTTCAAAATTTAAGTTCTATAAACGTTCTCTCCATAAAATAATAAAAAAAAATCTTATAAAGCTTCTGGATTCCTTCTGCGTCGATTTTTGTTGAGTCAACGTTTCATCAATCATCCTGTTGGTTTCTTCAGAGCTTGACTGAAACTGTTTCGAAGTAGCCAAGAGGATGATTGGCGAAACGTTAGCAAGTTCGACTCAACAAAAACCGACGCAGGAGGAATCCAGTTTTATAAAAAGTATTACAGTAGCCTGTGAAAGTTTCTTTGAAAAATTAAGAAAAAGTTCAAAAGTTTGAACATGCCCCTTACATTACTTACTTAGATGATTTTTAAATAATTTTATAACCTATTATGTAATTTTTGAGAACAAACCCTTAAGTTTTCTCGTAAATAAAGGAATCTGGAAGTGTTTCAAAATTGTTCTGGAGGTTAGATTTTTTTTTCAGAATATCCTCTGCTTATCAGGAACTTTCGAAATACGTGACGCGGTCGAAGATTTTATGAAATATTGGAATTGCTATTGCCATTTCATATTCTTTGCAAAATTATAATTGTGACGACCTTAAACCGAAACTCCCCGCGAAGCTTAACCGTTGTGTTTCGCCCACGAACGAATCCGAATCCAAATTCATTAAATTTAAAATTACGTTTCTAATTTGCAGACATCGGAGCGTGAAAAGCAACCGCACTCGTGTAATAAACGTAATACAAAATACAAGATAAAAGCCGGCAGCAGCCCTTTAATATACGCCCTCACCCCCCACATTGCAAATCTACCGTGCGTATTTCAAATCACTGATCGGAAACCCGGCAATTAGTAAAATTAAGCAGGTAATTTATGTTAATTAAAAACTTTGATCACATCTGCCCCAGTAATTGTAATCCTTGTAATCAAAGATCAAATATTCTTTAAATTTATCCAGAATTAAATGGCCCGCACTTTTAAACACGAAACATATGAAATTACTGAATGAAATCTTCGATTTATACAGTGTGTTGCCTAGCCTCTTACGTAAAATTGAACGTAAAAGATTTAAATTTTAAAATAAAAATTAATGCCGAGAGAGACCCGGGCAAGCTGTAGAAGCTTAGAATTTAATTATTTGCGGTTTTGTTAGGAAAGATACTAAACAATATTTATTTATTTAAGTATGGATTTATGTTTAAATCTAAAATAAAACTACAAATTATTTTTATTACCTACTTAAATTACTTAAAATTATTCACATAATATATCAGTATCACTATCGCTATCATCGCCTGTTCTACATTATTTGCAATATGGATCTACGATTGTTCTGCTTTTCTATATTTTTAACAGAATTTGCCCAACTTTGTGGAGGGATGTTAAAAACTTCGGTTTCAGTTGGTGCCAAACATGTTCAACTATGATCACTTTCATCTACACTCGAGAAAATGTCTGCATCGCTTCTTTTTTTCCTCGCTGAAATGGGATTATTCACAATTTTCCATACAGTTGATGTTGGAATTGTCGTCAATGGGGCCGTTTCTTCTAAAGATGCTTGCTTGCTGGCACCACGTTCAATGAGAGTCAAATAAACATTGGTTATAACTTCCTTAGTCTCAATAGAATAGTGTTTTCTACTCGCATATATTTCGCATAATTCGCACACGATTCCACACATGCTGTATTACACACAAAATAAGAATGACTACTAATAAACTTAAACTAAGTAGTATACCAAACCAAGGTAGGATAAAATTATTTTCAATTATGAACCACAATTTTACCTGAATTTAAATTCGGAAACTTTAGGTAATAATCTTGTTGCATTGCATGTTAATGACCACCCTTGGATAATCCCATTCCAAAAGGAATTGGTCACTTTCTCATATCTATGAACTGACATTAGATATGTTACAGTTAAGTGACTGTCTAAATGGAATTAATTACTAGATGAAATAGCATTTATCCGACTTTGTTGTTAATTGGGTTGAATTATCAATAGCATTGGCGCCTGCCGAAGTTAAAAAGAATGATATTTTTTATTTAATTATACGAATTATTTTCCAAACTTCTTCCTAAATCGAAAGGTTGAAGAATTCTGACTCAATGCTAAAACGAAACCCCGTTTTATTTTCGAAAAAAATTGTACATTTCTGAAAAAAAGAATGATAATGACCCTTCAATTTCAATGAGAATTTAATTTTAAGCACTTATGATAATGTGGTAAAATACACATACACACAATATAGAAGATAGAGACATATATAAAACAGAAAAATATTTTAGAAAATGAAGTTTGTTCAATGTGAGTAGTAATACAAGTGGAGTAC